AATTTAAAAAAATTATCTTTTCTTTATATTTCAAAATAATTTTATCTTTAATATTTTTTTTATTTAATGACTTATAATATTAATAATTACCATTTTAAATAAACTAATAAAATTTTAAGTTAAATTAAACTTTAAATCTTCAAAGTTTAATAAACTTAAAAAATTAAAAAAAAAATTTAGTTTTATTAATTAGGGGAGACTAAAAAAAGCTAGAGGGGGACTTATAAACTTTTTGGTTCTCCTTGATCGAGATAACCAATCAGCATCGCAGAAAAGAGATAACAATACTTGAGAGCATCGATTTAACACACCTTTTAAAAAATGGAATATTAGAACAACACAGGCGCGCGCTACGCGCGCGCATTATTATACGGGCATTTTGCAATTTTTTAAAATATATCGCGATGATAGATCTCGAATCACATATTTTGTAATTTATTCATTTAATCAAATAAGAATTAAAGTAATAAAAAACCAAATTATAAATTATCGTTGCGTTGCGATCTTTACGAACAATTTAATTTAAAATACTTATATAATTTAATATTTCGCATATATATTTTATAGTAGGTAAAATATTTCGGCAGCGAATTAACAATACCTAACATGATATAACTGTTTTTTTTTTCAAAATTTATAAAATTATTTTATTAATCTGCATATTATTGTGCATCAAATATAAAATGTGTATTGAATATAAAATTCAATGCGTATAATAAATTTTTTAAAATATTAATTATTTTGAGCGCTGCTACAATTTGGATCTTCCATTTGCATGTTACAGAGCAACGTAGCAACGACCCTAATATTCTGAGAGAAGGTGGAGGCCTCGGAGAGGCATCCTGCACCGGCGGAACAACCCAAGGGTGAGTATTTATCATTTGTATTCTGTTTGATAAAAATCGCGTACGCGCAATAATTCGGTCTCATTATTCGAATGAATTAAACAAGAGAAAATTAGAAAGAAAGGCTTTTACATAAATCCGATAAATGTTTTTATTATTAGAAAAAAACAGTTTTTTTAGAATTTATAAAATTATTTCATATTATCTGTTTATTATCGTACGCATCGGATATAAAATTTGGCATGTAAAATAATAATTTTTTTGAAATATTAATTATATTTTAGGCTCTGCTATAATTTGATTTTTATATTTGTATGTTATAGACAACGTAGCCTCAAGACCAATGATTCCGCTGTTGCGCATCAGTGCCGGTGAGTAATGAACTTTATTTTATTTTGAGGTAACGGATTGAAGTAGATTTGTAGATTGTAGATGCAAATATAAATTGTAGATTGTAGATAGATCCGTTGCCTCAAAATGAATGGGCTAGATTTAATAAAATAACTTTCATTAGATTTTTTTAATAAAATATATTACAGATACAATTTAAGATGTAGATTAAAATAAAAATTTGAAAAGAATTTAAAATATTTTTTTCAATTGATAAATTTTATTTAATTTGTTTGAAGAAGGCGTTACTGATTTTATTAATTGTATAAAATAGTAATAACTTATTTTCATGTTGCGCCGATTTTATCCCAATTTTGCATAGCCCATTCATCTATATTATCATATCAATTAAAGTTTTGCTTTAATTGATATAAAGCCAAATTATTGATCTATTAAATTATATAAAATATAAATGTTTTATTAATTTTATTTTAATATAAATTATATATTATTATAAATAATATTATATTATTATATAAGAATTCAATCAATTAATTTTGATT